TGTCAATGGTTTAAACTTTCCCTTTGTGTGCTTTGTAGTTTACATTTAACACAGGATTATACTGTATTTGCTTCCCCTCTTGTCTCTGCTACTGCTTGCTTGCCTGCTTCTGGTTCCAGATGAGGTGTGTGGTTGACTGTCAGTTTGTTGTTTAGGAGTTCATAACTCTGAGGTTCTAGTGTATGTATAAACGGATACATTGTCTTTGTGGCTCTGCAGCCAGACAGCCTCAAACAACAGCCGTGTTCCAGAATGGTGCTGTTGCACAATCGATCTCCTCCACGATATTAGGTCGCTATAACTACGTCGTTCAGGAGTGTGAAAACTCCACACAGTTAAACTGACGTAACCCCCTTGTAGACAGAGCTAGGTCAACAGGAGACATCTCCCATCTGCTTAGCTACTGTCTGTCTGGGAGGTGGCTATGCTGTTGGTCTAGCCGGCATCTTCAATAAAGTGCTACAGTGGCACATGATAAGTGTAGATGAGCCCTAAGACTGTACCTTGATTTGTGAACGTGTTCGGACATGGTTTGATCCCATCTGCACCACCACACCGTGTCTGAGCTGTGTCGTGGGACGGCAGACACATTGTTACGCTTCCTGACAATCGATTTTACATTGCAGCTGGGTTCCATCAGATTTCTGTGAGGCCTTGCTCACCAAAATAATCCTAGCTCATTTGAATGGCCACCTGGATTTCAATGGGACGATTTAGAGACTGGGACTACTTACAAAAAGGCAGAGTATCCTTGTGTGAGTAAAGGATCAGCTCACTAGGCCCTAAAGCTCTGTGGGATAGGGAACATGGATAACCATATGGAGCAGGGACGGTGGTAGAGGGGGAGTAGCCACCACTGGGGTGGGAAATGGGGGAGGAGGGGGACACCCACTGGGGAAGTGGAGAAGAATGGCTGGTGGACCACAAGCAGAGTTCCAACTTTCCCCCCTCCGTCCCACACGCTTGCTCATTCTGATGCTTCTTTCTTACCACCTGGATGTTTAAAATTCTTTTTAATAGAAGAATGGTGGACTTACTCAATCTTCTTCCAACTAGCCAATTAGCCCGTCTTAAGAAGGGCTTTTCAGGTCTCTCCTTCATGTCAGTCTTCTCTCTTGAGCCTCCAGTCTCTCTCTCTCTCTTTCCTCCTCCTACTGCCTCCTCCTCTCTCTCTCTCTCTCAGCTCTCCTCCGCCTCCTGCCTCTCTCTCTCTGTCTGTCTCTTTCTCTTCTCCCCCTCCTGCCTCTCACTCAGGGGACTGCGGAGCCAGCTGTTTGGGCTCCACACTCCCTGTGGTGCATGGGGAGCACGGAGCCCAAACGGTCGCTTGCGCCACTTGCTCTCACGCGGCGGCCTGGCTGAGCAGTGCAGAAGTCAGCCGAGCGCCATGGTGGGAGGCGAAGGGAGGTGGGGTGGTGACGTTCATGGCCAGGGGGCGGGACCTGGAGCCACTGTCATGCCGCACGTCACCACCCCGCCCTCTCCCACTTCTGCGCCTCTCAGCTGGGCTGCTGCAGGGGAGCAAGCGGCCGTTTGGACCCCGCACTCCTCATGCAGCATGGGCCGCCCAGAGGGAACAGCTAGCATTTCAGGCAACAGCACCGCCCAGAGGAAATAGCCAGCAGTTCAGCATTACAGACTCTCAGACATTGGGCTACTATATATATGATAACAGGTTTGGGAGTGTGGACATGCCATTTAGAAAATTGACCCAGGCTTCCCTGATTCCAAAAGTAGTATGAACTTAGTATGTACAAATGTAAAAAGGTATTAGATCTCTTTGAACATATTAATGGTCTGTGTTCACTTCCAGCTGTGAAAGCACAGCTGTGTGCCTGACAGATTTGCCTTTACAATCTTCAGGAAGTAAAACACTTCTCACATGAAATATTACAGATTGATGGGGAAAGCAGATAAATAAGTAAGCTACATTTAAATTCTTTACCACATTATCCATTGAAACCAAGAAGCCTTTGTGGATAAATAGGAAGAAAATCTATTAGATACATTTAATAAGAAGAAAATAAATGTCAGCTTCCATATTGCCACATAAGATAGAAGAAAGACCCCAATGCACATGTTCTATATTTAGAGTCAATTTGCTCTTTTTCATACACCTTTGGTATAGAGTACCAGCAAAGGATGATTCTTGATACTGATTATCTCAGCATTATCTTTAATTAATTTTGAAATTTCTATTACAAGAATTCTAGTGCACTCAGTTTTTGCTTGCAAAGGGCTGATACTGTAGATGTCTTGGGAATAAGAAAACAGCTTACAATTGGCATGTACTAATTATGTTAAATGTTTATAGTATTTGGTTTAGGGAAGTACATCCTGTACTGAGACTCTCTAGTCCAGCATCTGTGGTATGGAAGGACGTCGGATGTTCCCAGGCCAGAGATCCTCGGTGGCTGGAAGTCAGGAAGCAGGATGACTGGCTGCTGATTGCTTATCACGTATCCCCTTTTAACAGAGGCGAGCAGCAATTCCCGATCACAGCTGACTAGCTGTGTACAGCTTGGTTCACTCATAGTGGAAAGTAGCACTGTTACCCGGTGACATAAAAGATGACTGTCTGTTTTTTAAATGCAAGTATATTCCCCTCCGAAAGGAAAGCTACGGCAAATGGAGCTGCATATGCCAGAGGGTTGCTCGTTCTGATTCATCTTTCCTATAGGAAAACACATCTCCGCACCAAGGTGGGACCCAGTGTGATGCACGGAATTCTACCGGGTGGGCCATGGCTGCCCTCTTCCAAACGGTTTGCATAGGAGGGTAGGTTCCAGCATGCAGTGCTCCACCGTGAGTCAAGGGCTCCATATGGCTCCATCTTCTTCAAATTAGGTCCAGCCCTCTGGCTCCAACTCGTGGGAACTATGTTTTTCATACGTATTTCTTAATGTTGGAAAGCTATGGGATAGAGCTGAGATCTGATCCAGGTCCAGGCTGTGTTGCCTGCTTTCATGGCTTGTTTGTGAGTCTTGTGACATTTGGTGTTTTCCATAAATCTTCAGCTCCTGGAGTTGTTAAGTAAAGGTAAGACTGCAGCTTTGTGATTGCAAAGGAAAGCTTTAAGACCTTACCTAAATCTACCTTAAAGGCTCAAAAATAGAAGATGCATAAAAGGAACCCAGAATGTAGTCTATTTTAAAATCTCGTGATTTTCAGACATCTGAGGTTGGCAGTAATGCACATGGATAGTTCTAGCACATGTACCTTGTGTTGCTCAGGTCCTTAAATACAAGGCAGGGGTGTGTATGTATGTTTGTGGGGGGGGGGGGGGGTAAATCTACCTTAAAGGCTCAAAAATAGAAGATGCATAAAAGGAACCCAGAATGTAGTCTATTTTAAAATCTCGTGATTTTCAGACATCTGAGGTTGGCAGTAATGCACATGGATAGTTCTAGCACATGTACCTTGTGTTGCTCAGGTCCTTAAATACAAGGCAGGGGTGTGTATGTATGTTTGTGGGGGGGGGGGGGGGCTGACGGGT